ACATCTCTCTCTCGTATGTTTCTCTTCTGTCATCTCACTACGTGTCCCTACATTTGTCTCACCGCATCTATCTCTACTTGTCTCTATATATCTGCTGTCGTATCACGAGGATTGTATAGATAGACATTGGAGGGGAGGTGGCTCCCAAAAATAGTTATTGCTAAAGTCCACTGAATCAGTGACACCGTTGCACAATGAACTGACACCCACAAAGATCCCCCGTATAGCCTTAACAGACTATATCTTTTTTTTATTTTATTTTACCAGGTAAGGCCCACTGAGCTATGTAGAACGTTTCCAAGAGCGACCTGGCCACAAATGATAGCCCAATGAAGTGGCTTATCACGTGGAAATGTATAGCAGCCAAATACTCTAAAGGCATGTTTCTAAATGTGGAGGGCAAAACACTGGAAGACCCGGAGAAAAATCCACACAACCACGCATGCACACTCAAAATATACAGGTGTCAGGGTCGAACCCACGACCTCCTGCATACCAGGCGAGGAAGTGAATATCTCACCACCGTGCTGTTAGCGAGTGTCTATGAAGGCTGGCACGGTACATGCGGGAATGGGTGGGCAGCATCACGTCCTACCGGCTTCGTCTTCACAGTGCCAATGTTTTTACACACTGCACCAGGTACTTATTTGAGGCTAAGTCGACCTAGGGGAGGCCCAGGGTCCGTTCAGATAACCGTCACTGATGCCTGCTGTGAGCGGGAATCGAACTTGGGTCGCCGTGTTCGTAGCGCAGCGTAGCGCCAACCGCTACGCCCATTGCCTCCACCGCCAATTGTGAGCAATGTGGATCATCTCACACCGAAGTGAAAAGTGCACAGTGGCAGCCTCTTCGTTACGAATGGAAACCCAAGGGTGTGGCTCTCCACAGCCAATGTAATTAAGTGACCCCCAGTGATGAGGTTTGACTGACTTACTTTGGCAAAAGCAGAAAATGTTAACCCTGCGATACTTAAACGTCGTATTTCAACTGTATTCGAATATGACTGCGTGGTGTGTCATTCCCGATTACAGATGGAACACATTTTCATTTAGGCTGTGGTAACCTGAAATCTGATCTGTGGAATTTAAGCTGCTTTTATAGCAGCAAAATGCAGCCAATACTGCCCGGATTAAATGCGTGCCATGCTGACCTTCATAGGTAACAGCACTCGCCCCAACAGTCTGTTAAGGCTATACGGGGGACCTTTGTCTTTGTTCAATTCCGTGTTGTTTTCACAGAGCCTGCCTTTTATTGCCCCTGTTTACATTGCATCGCAAGTCCATAAAAAAAATCAGATTCCGAGCCGTCTTCGTGTGATGTCAAATGCTGATTTGAATGCCATCAGAGACGGGAGTGCACCAGGTGTTTATTGTGCTATCGTCTGGATTAGGGGCTCCGATAAGACCGTCGTGTCTTGGCGCGTTCTGTTTCATCGCGCGGCGTCGCCAGGGCAAGAGGGCAGGGCAGCCGGAGAGGGTTTTGTGGGAAGTAATGGAAAGGATTTGGTGGCGGGCGTCTCTCGGGTTCCCATCAGGGTTTTTTTTCAATCCTCTCTCCTCCATCCCACCGCCAAAGTGGTGAACCGCGAAATAACACTTGTTGAATGTTCCATTGTGAATCCACGATCACCCCCCCCCCCTTCTAATTTATAATCAATCATCTTGTAAGATGTGCGATTTATTTATTTATTAGAAATTGAGTACCGAAATACACGATGAGACCAAGAGATCAAGGGACCTCCCTTGTCAGCATCAAAAATATGAGAATAGGTTTTACCCTTTCTGGCAATAAAACAAGATGAAGATGTCATCGTGGTCGGAGCCACAGTTGTCGCCCACGCCTCGCGAATGCCATCTCCCCTCCGCCAGATCCCACGATCCTCCTCGTTAACCCCTACAATGTGTTACCCCCCCACCCAACCCCCCTTTATTCCAAGGAGATCCAAATAGTACCCCGAGAATCTGCCGCCTACCCGTGGTCAAGGTGAGCGGCGCTCCGCCACCACACTCACGCCACTCACCTCGCCACGCCGCAATAGCCAGAGACAACGCGACGGTACTCATCTCCTGTTCACAGCGCTGAACCAGTGGTGGAGATTCCATGTTCCTATGGCAGGGGCGAGTCCATCCGTGGCACAACGACGGAGCGGCATTCATTGCATCAACTCCGGAGAGACAATGGGCTGCGTCAACCCCCAAACCTGGATTTGAACTCACGCCGACCAACTTGCGAGCCGCTCGCTAAACCAACCAATTCAGCGGTAGAGCCATGGCTCACATCACTTGAGGTGACCATTTGAGTAGGGGATCGGCGGTGTACTGCTGTCGAACGCTGAACAGCTGCGTTGTTTTTTGTGTGGTTGTTGTTGTTGTGTCTTGCTGTGTCCATACGGCAGAGGAATGCGTGCACTTGATTCAAGACTCCTATCGACCATCGCGTGATGCTGTCACGAGTAATGAATATAATTCCAGAGCAGTGGTTACACCACTTTAAAATGCAATAACGCATATTGGTCTTTCAACGTATCGACCTTCTGCACCATTGTATTCAAGTAACATTATTTGAACAGGCAAACTCTGGATCGGTTTAGATTTTCTGAGTCTCATCAGTAGATTGCGGCCTCTTGAACAAGTGCTGTTGGGCCAACAGCGAAGACTTCATTATTCTCGTCGCACGCATTGGCTTGCAGCACTTTCGCAGCTTTCAAGAGGTGCCACAGTTAGAGCGAGCCTCTTCAGGGGTGGTGGGAGAGGTCAGCCAGGATGAGTCTCGTAACCCCCTGCCGCACGACCGCGTCCGCCCAGTGCTCGCCACGCTGCATTGGCTTCCGCTTGCCGAACGAAAACATTAAAACAGTGCTTCTCATACTTTACTGCAGCCTTGCACCCCCCCCCCCCCCTTTGGTTCCCAATCGTAAAATACATAGGTTTGATAAAACAAAGTAAGTTGTATTTCGATTTAAAGCTTTCGTGACTGCAGGGATTCATATGCTTGGATCTTTCGGTAAAGTCACGTAGAAGGGAAATAATAAAATAATAAAAATAAAACATAATAAAATTCTCACGACGTTTCGGCCACAACACACAAGCAGCCGTCCTCAGGTGAAGAACAGAGCTGTCGGAAAGACAGCGTCCTGATGAGGACGGCTTCATTTGTGTGTCGGGGGTGCGTGCACCCCAGGTTAAGAACCACTGTCTGAAAAGGTCGCAACTCATTACACACCAAGTGCGTTCCACAAATGAACCACAATGCCTTGCCGATCTCGTCAAGGAGCATAAACCACCATCACGCGAACTGCGGTCACCCTCCCAGCAGCGGCTTTTTGGCCAGCCATCGTACAAAGACGGTGGCTTTCAGATGCACTTCTGCGACCATCTAGAACTCGATTCCTTCCGATATTAGGCAGCCACTGGAGCTACGGACTTTTAACTCATCTCGATTGAAGACGAATTTCTTCAGAACTGCTTCTTGTGTTTAATGTGTCGTCCCCCCGCACCTCCGATTAGTTCGGTTGGCTACGTACAGAGCGAAAGAAGTTCAACATGCATACAGATACTGAAGCACCAGTTTAATGCATCACTGATGCAACTCTCGTACGGGGAGACCGACTGGATATCTTCGCTTCACATTTTAAACTACTTAATAAACAATAATTCACAGCCCTTTGTCTATCCACTTCTGGATGTTGGCCGTGGGTGTTGTTTGACCAGATTTAGACACGCTGGAAAGTGGATCAGGACCGATTTGAGCCATCAGTTGCCACTGATGATGCCAACCCACCAGGCCCTCTGAGTTTTACAGCTGCGCAGTTTAAACGTTACGAACAATATTTACACTTTACTTACATCTCACATGACCTGCAATAACGGCAAGTTTGAATAAGAAAACTGATTTTTCCGTGTCTCCTAGGAAACTTTTTTTTTATCAATGACCCCCTGCCTGTATTTAATGACGGTGTGAAGTAAGCATTGTTAAAGTTTCTCTCGCAAAACAAACAACACACTGCTTATCTTCGCGTGCCTTTTCCTGCGTAAACCAACGGATATTAGTTGAAGGCACTTATCAACAACACTGTGGCTTTAAAAGAAAAATATATATTTATGATTGATGACATTTGGGCCCCTCCTTCATGCGCCACTTTCTAACTCTCTTTGTAATGCAACGATAAAAATGTCATCAGCGACATTGTGGAGCATATAAGCAATGACATAAATAGGCAGACGATGCGGGTCTCCTTCACATAATCTGCCTCTCCACACACCAAAAAAACACAAAAGTATTTCCACGGACACGGGAAATTCTCCACAACAACACAAATTATAATATGTTGTGCGTGTTATCATTTAGGTTTGCGTCGAATGAGAACCCATATCTAACAGAGATGATCCTTGCCTATCCTATGAACATCTTGACAGCTCCCCAGCATTGGTTTGAGCAAGTCAAACGTCGCAGTTGAAGGCATCGAATGTCAAAACTGGTCCAGAGTGTTGCTTGTCTGGAAACCGTTTTTTTTTCAGTTTTCAGTTTCATTTATTTGGTACAGCCCTGTGAGCCATTCGGCTCTTGAATCGGGTGCAACTGCAACAAACAAAAACAACGCTGTGTGGTCGATGGTATACATAAAAAAAGATCTATATAGTGAAATTTTTTTGGGTTAATGTGGAGATAAAAATATGTAAATGAGGCATTAGGTCTGCTTCAGTCATTTCGCTCAATCTCGTTGGCCACACACCGAGATACACAAGGCAGACTGAGAATTACTTTGGCGCCATCTGTCGGTCACATTACAGAGGCCCCAAAGCGCTCTTGGCATCACCATCATCACTATTTAAATGCTTAGGGATTTTTTTCTCCCCCCCTCCTCCTTCTTTCAATTGCCTTTGGAACATGCGTTCATGCCGAATGACAGGTATTTCCAGTGGCACCTGAACGCACTCTCCCTTTGTAAGGGGGGGCTCTTTCGGAGGAGGAGGAGGGAGGGAGTAGAGGCGGTTCTTGGTGCGGGGTTGGGTAGGGACCTCAACTCTCAATGACCACTTCAACAGCGGCTGCTTGCATCCCTCCACGTGGCGCCGCGGCTCGCACGGCTGACACGGACCTAGCGACGACACGCACAGGTGAGTTTCAGGTTGCACGTTCAATTCGTTTAAATTGGCTGATAACTCACGAGACCAAAGCAAGTCTCGTTTTGCACGAGCGCGTGACCCCGGGGATGATCGCTCATCTGTATAAATCCCAACCGAGTCATTTGCCGATAGATTTACGATTCGGAAAAATTCGAAACCCGCCCGCGAATGCCGCCGGTGGGAACCTTTTGCCGTCCACCGCGGCTGAAGCGGACGGCGCGTCGTGCCATTGCGGATACACGCAGCCGCAGTAGTAACCGGGGCGGCCGCTCGAATGGGAACCGCGGAGAGCCTTTGCAACGAGGGGCGAAACGCCGCGGTTTCTACCGCTGGGCCGCCGCGTCACCGCCCATTGAGGCAGGTGTCGGCAGATGGGCGCAGTTGTCGCTCGGTGGAGGTCATCTCGCCGTGAACCGCTGTTGATTCCTTGCATGGTCCGGAGGTGGGCACGGGGCTCCGTCGGTGGGCGGTTTGAAGCACCCCACTGGGATTTTTGCGCACAGCGTTGGTGTACGGTGTTTTTTCTGCAATATTTTGCTGTCTTTTCTTGGATTTTCTGTTTGCACTTAGTCACATATTCACTTTAAGATGTTTTTGTTCATGTTTTAGTTTTTTGTTTGTTGCGGTTGCACCCGATTCAAGAGCCGAATGGCTCACAGGGCTATACCTAATAAATGAACTTGAACTTGAACCCACATCCACGAGTTGTTAACTGTTTCGCGAGGCGATTGTTTTCACGAGAGCAAGCGGTGCGTGCCAGCTGGTGAAACTGCGAGAGGGTGGCCGATTGTTCACGGGGGGTCTGCACGCAAGGCCCGTGTCTGACCTTCCGCAGTGAGTAGACTACTAAACATGGCAGTGTATGGACGTTGAACTTCATTCGCACCGTACGTAGCCAACCGTGCTAATCGGAGGTGCTGAGAAGGTCAGCAAAACTAAACACAAAAAGTAGATCTCAAGAGATGAGTGTGCCCAGCTAACGATAATTTTTCACAAAAACTGGTCGTTCAAGTTACTTTAATCAGATGAAAGGCCAGATAGACCTGCCAAAGGTGATTAAATATGGACGAGTTACAGTATTATTACCGTTACATATTTCTAATTAATCTGTAAAACTATGGCTTTCTTGGGTGTATGGCTACAGAATATTGTTCGACATGTGCAATGTATTTCGTTTTACGATACTGAGTGTATAAGTATTTGATTAACATATGACCATCATTATCATATGTCTCTTCTGTCAGCTCATTAGCGAACGATGGGGCCCAAGCAATTTCTGCCACGGTTCTCCAGCCAATGTCACTGCTTCGCTCAACGTCAATTCATTCTCTTCTGCACGGACGCCACGGTGGCTAGGAGATGTTAACTACCTCGCCTCGTATACAGAAGGTCGTGGGTTCGATCCCGACCCTGACGCCTGCTTTATATTTGGAGCTTGCATGTTCTCCCCGTGGTCACGTGAATTTTTTTCCGGGGGCTCCGATTTTTTCCCTCCACATTTAGAATCAACGTGCACTTAGTGCTTGGCTGCTATAAATGTCCAAGTGGTGATAAGCCCACTTCGTTGAGCTATCATTTGTGAGAGCCAGGTCGCTTCTGGAAAAAGAGCTACATAGCTCAGTGGGCCTCCTTAACTGGCAAAATTAAAACATAGTTTTATAGTTTTTTTAATAGTTTTGCCCCTGCCACCTCTCCACCTGCTTTCCTGTCGTTTCCCTCTCCTCCTTCTCCTCCTCCTGCGCCCTTCAGCCTCTGGTGTGCAACCCCAAGTACAGCCTCCAAGCCCGGGGTTCAATCTCGTGTCCCAAATCACTGCGGTCGTGGCTACTTGTGCATTTGTGGATGCGCGTGCATCATTGTGTATTGCAAGTTCATTGTTGTTGTTGTGAAAATGTGAACAAAAACTGTTTAAGTTACTTTCATTAGATGAGAGCCCAGATAGATCTCACGCACGACCTGCCAAACGTGGTTAAATAGGGACACGTGTTATCACAGCATTGTATTATTACCGTTACATATTAATAATTAATCTGTAAAATTATGGCTTACTTCAGTTTCATGTATTAGGTATAACCCTGTGAGCCATGCGGCTCTTGACTTGGGTGCAACCGTAACAAACAAAAACGTAAACAAGAAACATCTTAAAGTGACTACAACACACAACAGAAAAATCCAGGAAAAAATAGCAAAGTCTTGGGTGTATGTCTAAATAATATAACCATGTGTGTTATGATTATTATGTGCGGGACGTTCTCCTATAACGCGGTGGTAGTTGCGTTCCTGAAGAACACCGCCTTATGAAAAAATCGCGTTGTTAATAAATAATAGATAATATAGGGGTAAAGCACGGTGAGATGCGTACGCAGGCTGAACAAAGACTGAGGCACGTGGGTAGCATCTAGAAGCATCCAGCAGTATCCCACTGCCTTGTTGTGTGATGATGCTACGCTGAGGCAGCCGTACGGCCGCTTATTCTGACTCGCGCGACGTCGCTCAATCGCGTTATATCCAATTGCCGTCCACGTCATAAAAAATGTGTTCCCTCATACATTCATTGCGTTAAATACAATCCGTGTTATGAAAACACGCGTTATAGGAGAACAGACTGTGTATACATATGTTTTACAATGGACAAATTGATAGATAAGAATGGCATGCTCGTGATATATCCATGCAGTGGGGTGCTGCTGTGGTGTTAATAGTTTATCACGGTGGACATGCAATCCAAGGGTTGTATACAATGGTGGAGCCAGGATTTTCAGGTCGGGGGGGCAACCTCTCCAGCAATGAAAAATGATAGAGGAGTTGTTAGTAAGTAAGGACTTGTCCCTTGCTTTTTATTCGACGCGGGTGTGGCGTGATCGGCATCGCGCTCGCTGAAGGTGAATGCCTTCAGGGAAGTCTTGCACTGTATACGTAACTGCGCACAATTCGGAGTCACTTATAACTATTTTGCCGTTACTTATTGCCAATAATGGACTCAGACTATTATCCTATCATCTCATAGAGTCCCTGGCACCTAATAATATGCTACATAGTGGCAGTGGGGGTCGCAATATGCCAATTTATTACTAATAAACCCCAATGATCCGATCGAAATTAGGGATTTCGATCGGATCATTGGGGGGGCACGTACCACCCCCCCCCCCCCCCCACTGGCTCCGCCAGTGGTTGTAGAGATTCGATCTCCCGGTGCAGCGGTTGAAACGATGGGGCAAGTGTCACCCAGCAGCATGCGTGGGATACACCACAGCCAATTGCGAGGTCACACGTTTAAGCGGGGGCAAATTATGGGCACTCCAAACCTCTGCCTGGTTTTCCAAGCGGTGTGGAAGAGTAGGCCAACGTACCCGCTGCAGGGGATCTCTCGCTAGAGCTTCCTCGAGTGGAGGCCCTTCTGCCAGCAGTGGCGTGAGCAGGCAATTGCAGGGCTGCGCCTTCACCATGTTTTGTTGCTGTTACACGCAGTGCACACCGAGAACATTTCGTGACCATGCTCACAAAGGTTCTACTCTTGTTCTCTGCTGCTGTGCGGTGCACTGCGCTCAACTCTCAACATCAATGCACTGCAACGGATGAGAAGTGCACTGAGATTGGCTTTAAAAAAAATCAGCACGTACTTATTTAGTGCGAGTTGCAAATTATATTGTACTTTAACCGTCTTTTTACATCTTACGTAGGCAGGTGTATTGTGGTCAGGGCTTAGACTCTCACCGGATATTTTCTGGGTGACTAGACTGCGGTAGGCACGTGACTGGCAGCCACAGCCATAGGGAGATGCATGCTGGATGTGGTGTGCCGCGTGTGAATGTATTTTACAGGTGACAACTGGACGACTTGGGTAGGCACGTGACTGGCAGCCACAGCCTTAGCCAGATTTATTGTGGATGTGGTGTGCCGGGTGTGAATGTATTTTACAGGACCCTGACCTTGGAAAACCATCCAGCTAAAATTAGGCCCGGGGTTATGGACTAAATTTTCTGTGGAGTACAGCAGAACGTCGCGTACCCGACTCACGGGGGACTGAGGTATGGGCGGATAGGTAAACATTTCGGATTTGTAAACATCTTCCTCTATATGAATCTATCGAAAATGACAATCCAAAAAAACTCAACTCGTCCGTCAATAGCCCTTTGTGTGCGGGCTTCAAAGGAAGCCTATCAAGTAGGCGACGTTTCAGGCAAACGGCCCATTTTTTATGGTACATATAGAGAAATCGTGGATAGTAATAATAACAAGAGACGGACACTGCACTTTACACCACGGGATGTGATAAGAATTAAGCATTAATAAAGAAAACGGCAGGAGCACTACGCACATGCGCTATGATAGTTACATCTGTCAGTGGGGATATGTGACGGTTCGGAAATGCGATGTCTTACGATATTGACCTCATCTGTCTTCCCGCCCCAGGACTTCTAGCATCCGGCTGCGCAATGGACAAGGGGCCACCACTCCATGCTGCTGCAGCCGCTGCTGCTGCTGCTGCCTGCCTTCACGTGGCGATCATCTTCACCTCGATTCCACTCGCAGCCGCGAAATCGAACTGCCAAGGTAGAAGGGCGGGGGGAGGGGGGGTCCCAGCTACACGGACGGCTCATAGGACACCTGCAATTTGGATGATTGGACGTTTTGGAGGGCGGGAGATTTGTTGTTAGATGTTAAGAGAGCACTTTCTGTAAATCACTTCAGGGGGCCGTGGAGGATGTAAAGGTGCCTTCAGAACGACTGTGCTCTCAGTCCAGGGGTCGCCAACCAAAATAACATTTTTTGTTCGAATTCGGTCAAAACAAAATCCGAGATCCGCAATGAACTCCCTTAATCACTGACGTCACGAAGCAGTCACTTAAAGCGCCGCATGCGGCTCCAGAGCCGCATTATGCCGACCCCCTGCGATAGTCGTTGGTGATGGTCCGAGACTCTTTACCCTTGAGAACCTTTGTTTAATCATGGAGGGGTGTGTGCCTGGATTTGGACCCATCATCTCAGCAGTGCTGCCCCAGGGCTCTAACACTGCAGTTGCCCCTGCCTGAGCCATCAGGCTCATTTCTCTATGCGTATTGTCCACATGTACAGTCCTTCTTATCAATCCACTGCTGGATAAAGGCCTCCCCATTCTGTGTGAGTTGTGGGATGTTATTTGACCACACTTCACTCTGCAGGTCAGCGTGGGTTGGGTGAAGGCAGGGAGTTTACAGGGTGGCTCCAGATGTCTCGTTAGCCCCCATTTAATTGACCCCTAAAAAATTCCTTTGCATATTCGTTTCTGTTTGAAATAAACCTTACGATAAAAATAAGTAAGTTTTAGAGAATTAAATGGGGGGGGGGGGGGGGGTCACAAGACATCTGGACCACACTGTGAAATCACAGTACAATAATGGATGTTGCTGCTCTACGCTCTGCTACTCACCACTCACCATGTACCCGCACGCATGGCCTATGACAACCTGCTGTGCACGACAGTCTCCCCACATTCAAGCACTCACCAGGCTCAACCACGCTGAGTTCGTGAAATCTGATGACATTGGGGAATTACGGGTACTTTGGTCATAGGCCTGTGTAGTTTAACATCTGTCAAAGAAAACTACTCTCAATGGCCCAGTGTCTGTTCCACAATCGTCTCAATTGAATTGTGTTTTTCATTGCTGAGTAAAAGACCATTATATGTTTGTAAGTTTAGTTTTTGTTTTCTTGTCTTGCAGACGGAAATGTTGATTGCCAGGACCAATATCGAGGTCCCCTAGGTGCCTTTGGGCCTCCTGGCCCTCCAGGTTTAGACTGCGAGCGTGGGATGAGTTGCTGCAACGCTGTCAAGGGAGACAAGGGGGATCCGGGCACCGTAGATGGACCCTTCCATTTGGACGCGTGTCCTGGCGGAGAGAAGGGGTACAGCGGCGCGATGGGTTTTGCGGGAATGTCAGGCCCTCCCGGACCCAGAGGTGTCCCCGGGCAATTCGGGCCTAGTGGGAGGCCTTGCAAACTCGCGCCACCAGGGCTGAACGGGAACCCAGGATCCCGTGGGCAGTCAGGGCCTCCGGGACCCACGGGATTAATGGGACCACCGGGATTCTCTGGACAGGAGGGGTTTAAAGGTGTCACGGGACTGAGAGGCGTTGCGGGCGATGGCTGCATACTTGGACCGCCGGGCCCTCCAGGCGTTCGAGGCAGAAAGGGAGCTCCTGGGCTGTGCGGCATCATGGGAATGACTGGACCTCTTGGCAAAAAAGGAGAGATTGGTGCACCCGGTTTTCCAGGACCCGTTGGCATTGATGGGAACTGTGGAGTGACTGGCCGGCCAGGCCCACCGGGCAACCCCGGCATCATGGGCTCAATGGGATTCCCGGGAACGCCTGGCTTTCGTGGGGGTGTTGGACCAAGAGGGCCGGTTGGGGATCCAGGTGGGTTGGGAATGTCGGGTGGTATTGGTTCTCTGGGCCCCCCCGGGGCAATCGGAGAGCCCGGAATCATGGGGCCTCGTGGAATGGGAATTCCTGGAGATGCGGGCCCACAGGGACTTCCAGGAGACGCAGGCCCGCCTGGCGCTCGCGGACCGTGCGGGATGATGGGTCCTCCAGGTTTCATGGGTCCTGCTGGACCGAGAGGATATGTGGGACAGTGCTCGGCCAGCTGCAATCAGCCGGGGCCTCCGGGGCATCGTGGAATCCCAGGTCCTCCAGGACCCCCAGGCTCAGCACCTTCACCTGCCAATAATCCGCGACATCCCTGCGAGCCAACCGATTATCCGCGACATCCCTGCGAGGCCGCGTACATTCAGCCATATCAATATTTTAAATGTTCCACCGACTACACTGAGCGCATTCCTTATGTACAAACCACCTATCGCCTGCAGCAAAACCCCAATGGCACGAACGTCGGCAAGTTGCAGCGCCCCCCGTCCAAATCATTGCCCAAGGACATCTACCGGTTCAAAGACGAGACCAAGAAGTCCAAAATGAAGCTGACTGACTTTGTGCGCAAGGCCTCTGAAGCGAAAAAGAAAAGATCCCTGCGGTCCATCAACGCCGGCCGCGGCGCGCCCTTCCCAGCCTTCACCGTCAAGTCCCTGAATCTGCAGCCCGCGGCAGGCCAGGCAGTCAGGTTCGACAGCGTCATCTTCGACGCGAAGGCTCAGTACAATCGATCGAGCGGCGAGTTCATGTGCATGATCAGCGGCATCTACAACTTCGCCTACAGCCTGGACACGGAGGAGCACGTGTGCGCGGGACTGCACAGGAACGTGGCCTCCGTCGTCGTCACGGAGAGCTGCAACGGCGCTCAGGAGGGCTGCCCCGCGGGTCGTTTCTCAGAGAACGTTGTCCTGGAGCTGCGGACCGGTGAAACCGTATGGATGGAGTTTTACTCGAAGGCTCCAGCGGTCAAGCTGGCACCTGGCAAGGCGCAGCTTACTTTCTCGGGACACCTACTGCACGAGCTGTGAGTCAACATCTCGCCATAGTGGCGAGATGTTGACTCTCTTCACCTGGTATGCAGGAGGTTGTGGGTTCGATCAAGACCCTGACGCCTGTACACTTGGAGTTCGCATGTTCTTTCTCTCTCTCTCCATGGTCGTGTGGATTTGTCTCCGGGTCCTCCGCTTTTCCCCTCCATACTTAGAAACATGCATTTAGAGTATTTGGCTGCTATAAATGTTCACATGAGGATAAGCCAATTCGTTGAGCTATCATTTGTGGCCAGGTCGCTTTGGGAAAAAAGAGCTACATAGCTCTGTGGGCATTACCTGGTAAAAAAAAAAACTGTTTTAGTTTAATGAGTTAAGAGATTCCACGATGATGCTTTGCTAAACCCAATGGTTTATGGTGCGCGTCATATGTACGCTAATGTGTATCTCGCGTTTCAATATTGCAACTTTTAACCGGATTTGAATGGTGCTAAAACCTTTTTTAAAATGTATTACAGCGATTTCCCTTTTCTTCAATCAAAAAACTGTTTTGTCGTTTTAGTTTTGTTCGTGGAAGAAATACTTTCAGGTTAATGTTCTTAAATTGTTTAACACGAAGGCTTTCGCGACCAATATCATCCATAATGGGGGTTTTTGGGTTAGATCGTGTAAATATATAAATGTGTCGTTAAAACCCACCACCACCCGACACAGCCAACTAGTAAGGATTGTCACGTAAACAGAACGTGGCCAATTCGTCACTAGTACAGCACACCGGTGCGTTGGTGAGCCAAGCCACAACATTTACAATCTGGGACTAAAAGAACATCAGAGAAATATAAAATTATCCCAAATACAACTGTCAGCAGTAGCAGAAAACGCATGCCAACAAGGACACAATCAATTGATTTTGATAATGTTGAAGTTTTGTGCAAAACTAGCTACTACTGGCCAAGACTAATTAAAGAATCTATCGTAATTGAAAGAAATCAAAATAACTTTAACCATTCCGATAACTACCTCCTTAGTGGTGCGTGAAAGCGAATCATCAAATTATACATTATTTAAATGCATGCCTACAAAGGGCAGCATACTTCAATATGGATTACCGTTGGTAGGGCTATTTTAAGAAACACAATAGACAGGAAGGACAAGTTCAAAGGGCTTGCATAATGCACATGCATCATGTACGTTCCTCAGTAGTCCCCACCCCCACCACATTGTGCAAGAGCGCAGCTGCGTGGTCAACACATCTACGCCTCTATATAAAGAACGAAACAGGTGGACTTCTCCACAATTCTGGCTATCGCCTGATGAAGCAAGTTGTAATTACTGGCGAAACGTCGTATTCCGTTTGTAAATGTTTTGGCTTGGCTCACCAACACACCGGTGTGCTGTACTAGTGACGAATCGGCACGTTCTGTTTACGTGACAACCCTTACTAGTTGGCTGTGTCAGGTGGTGGCGGGTTTTAACGAGACATTTATATATTTACGCGATCTAACCCAAAAACCTCTATTATGGATTCTTAAATGTTGTCCGTAGTTTTGATGTTCCTACATAAAGTCTTTACACCACGTTGTGCACATTGAATTTATATCAACAATCTTTCTGCCGGATTATTATTATTGTGGTTTTGCACATTTACCAGTTATACCAAATCATACGTTCTGGCTTACCAGTACTCTATCTAGACACCACAGTGCATTATTCAATTCCCATAACCAAAAAGTGACATTGATGCAAATTTTGTCTGACTTGCCCTCACTCCTCACCGTCACACTGACATCGGCGCCCAACACCCGAGCCACGATCTCGTCAAGTAATGGATAAATGTGCAGCCCTGCAACTCATTGGCTCGTCCAATTATGCACTCGACAGTATCTCACTGAAAAGCAAAAGAGTAAATCGGCGTAATGGGAACTAAAACAATTATTACATGTTCTGATAAAAAAAAACACATTTCTACAAAAAATGTAATGTTTTCAATATTCATGAAAACCAATACATGGAATTGTATGAGGATGTATTTTACCACTGATGTCATTTGGGTGATAAGTGTATATTTAAAAACTCAAATATATTGTCCGTTCAAAAATACCAAAAATGTACATCGTGTAGAGTCATTTTTTTCGTGTACCAAGGACGTACTTTTTTTTTACACAAAAATCTTCAACCTAATCCTATACTTTTAATTCTTCCTACTATTATTTCATACTGTCTATAAAAAAATTCTCATTATAAAAATTACAAAGAAAAAATCACAGCACCTCCAATTAGCACGGTTGGCTACGTAGGGTGCGAAAGAAGTTAAACACAAATGCATACGTACAATCTTCAAAGGCAACTACACTACATGCCATTCATATATTGCAGTAGTTGTTAACCTTTAGTACAGCCTTGCACCCCTTTGGTTCTCAATTGTAAAAAATATATAATGTTAATAAATACAAAGGTTTGATTAAACAAAGTAGTGAAACTTACGTGCCCGTGCTTAATTTGTGTTTCGATGATTTACCTAAAAAAAATCTGGCCGTGTCTCGCACCCCCAGAAAGGACATCTCACACCCAAAGGAGGTGCATCCTCCCCAGGTTAAGAAGAAGAACCACTGGAATATTGCTACTGAAAAACATATATAAACTCTGTTAAATGTTGCTCAAATGTTTTTGTTACCACCTTACAGAATGTAAAAAGAAATAAAAGTACAAACAAATACAAGGACAGGGTGAGAAATGAAGAAGTGAGAGGAAAACTCAAGGTGGTAGACATCACAGATATTTAAAAATAACTTTTATTTAAACACGCTTTAATGAAATGTACCGTACTAGTAATGGAACAACTCCACGACTCCAGGAAGTGGCCCCGAAGCTTGCCACAACGTCAGGGGCCGTGGTGATTTACAGCCAACGTCAGTTGACCGTGGACATCTAGACCCAAGCCGAAACATAACATAGAAAAAATAATGTTTAAAAATATATATCTTTATTTTAATGATATAATATAGTATTGTCATCAGTATGACATAAGTATACCAAGTTTGCAGTCGATACCACGTTGGGAAGTGGGTTAAAATTGAGTTACAAGATGTGAGGATACAACAGACAGAGTGAGTTAATACAAAACGTGTAATAATAATAATAAAAAGGCTGGTGTGGTTCTGCTCATGTGCAGAGACAACAGGAGAATGATGTGGGTCAGAAGGTGCAAGTGATGCAAGTGGAAGGAAAGAGATCAAGAGGAAGGCAGAAGAAGAGGTGGGGGGGGGGGGGTGATGCGGTGCGATCGTACCACAATGGCCCGAGGAGCGGAAAGAGAGATGGTGCAGGACAGGGCAGCGTGGAGAAGCTTGGCAAGGACAGCGGACACCTCACGTGAGTGGGACAAACGCGTGGAAGAAGAAGAAGACGACAAACAAATACATCGATAGACTATCAACTCAGAACTAGGATTTGAACTCAGAACCCGCTGCTTGTCAGGAATCCGTTCTACCAACGGTGCCGCCTGGTCAGGTGAACGTCGCCAACAATGGCGGAGCAAGGGATTTCAGGTGGGGGGGGGGGGGCAACCCCTCCAGCAATGAAAAATGATAGAAGAGTTGTTAGTAAGTAAGGCGTTGTTAGTAAGTAAGGACTTGTCCCTTGATTTTTATTCGACGCGTGTGCGGCGATGGCGCAGCCATCGATCGAGGGTCGAATTCGAACCGCGTTGTGTGATCGGCATCGCGCTCGCTGAAGGTGAATTCCTTCAGGGAAGTCGTGTACTGTATACGCAACTGCGCACAATTCTGTGAGTCACTTATAACTGCTTTAACGTTACTTATTACCAATTATGGACTCAGACTATTGTCCTATCATCTCATAAAGTCCCTGGCACGTAATAATATGCTACACAGTGGCAGTGGGGGTCGCAGAATGCCGATTTATTACGAATAAACCCCAATGATCCAATCTAAATTAGGGATTTCGATCAGATCATTGGGGGACACGTGCCCCCCCCCCACTCCGCCAGTGGTCGCCACAGAATATTTAGTTCATTATCGACTCATTTCTCAACTGTGATAACTTTTTTGTTCTTTGCGTCTTTTGTTGTTGGTTCCAACACTTTATTTCTCGATTCCATTTTTTTAAATATGGCTTGCCAGTAGGGTTTTAATTGGCTTGGTAGTAGCCTCATATAGGATTTGGTCCTCGTAGTACGAATGACGCTATATAATAATCCAAGTATCATTATTATTACTGCATACACGGTCATAAAGGCGCACAGCGCAACTTCCACATCGCTCACTGCGAGAGTTGCGAGTGAAATTAGCTAATCACCAGATTCAGTTTAACATGCACAAGTAGACTTTCGCGACCAATATTATCCATAATTAAGTTTTGTGGGTTATATCGCGTGAATATAAATGTGTCGTTAATTCCGCCACCACCCGACACGGCATATTAGTAAGGTTTGTCACGTAAACAGAACGTGCCAATTCGTGACTAGTCCAGCACACCGCTTGTGTGTTGGAGAGTAAACCCACAACATTTACAATTCGAGTCCGACGTTTCGCAAATAACTACAACAAGCATCATCAGGCGTAAGCCAGAGTTGTGGAGACATCCTCCTGTTTCAGTTCTAATTACTAGTGAAACGTCGTACTCGAATTGTAAATCTTGTGGGTTTACTCTCCAACACACCAGGGTGCTGTGCTAGTATCGAATTGGCACGTTCTGTTCACGTAACAAACATTACTAATTGGCCACGTCGGGTGGTGGGCCGGTTTAACGAAAAATGTATATTTACGCAATATCACCCAAAAACTGCCATATTGAACGTAATATCCACAGCTACAGAACCCAGAGACAGGGACCGCCGCGATGCAACGGCGTAAGGGTCAGCACACTGGACGCGCGACCCAGGTCACCTGTTCGATCTCCCGGCACGGCAGTCGAAACGACGGTGCGGGTTCATGAAATCTGCCGCCCCACCCGCTCCCCCGACTGCCTCTGTCCACCCAGCAGCCCGCAGTTGGTCGATTGGCAGGTCACGTGCGGCGGGGTGAAGTGTGGGTACTTGTCCACCTCTTCCACGATGTCTCGCCGGTGTCGGAAGAGTAGGCCGAAATATCCTCGAGTGGAGGCCCTTCTGCCAGCAGTGGCGTAAGCAAGAAGTTGCAGCCTTTAACTCTTAGCCAGAGATAAGAGAATGATAGCCTGGGAGCAGGACAACAACGGCGACAGCCATGGTCACCACTGCCACAACCACAGAGAATGATGATGGCGGCGATGATGATGATGATGAGGGACGATCACGGGTCCATGAGGAATTGCTCTGGTTAGAAGCGAATGAGTGGGCGAGTGAGCAGATGAGTAATAGAGCGGTCGTTAACGGATGACAGTGGTGATGATTCTTAACAATGCTCCTGCTGCTGATGATGATGATGACGATGATGAACGATGGTGATGACCACAATGATGATGACGATCTTTGTCGCCTCCATCGGTGGGTGATGCTGATCTACCAAGTCATCTCTGCCAAACGATAAAAGCGGTAAGGGTTATAACGACGACGATGTCAGCGATGACGGTAATGGTCCTCTTTGGCAAAATATTTATTTTATCGACTAAAAAGTGGTGGATGACAGTGGTTAGGGGTCGGTGTGTTTTAGGGTTAACACCTCACTCACCAAGCAACGTGTGCGCACACAAGGGCCGCTGTGTGCCGTATGAATGTTGAGTTTCTTTCGCACCGTACGTAGCCAACTGTGCTAATCGGAGGTGCAGAGTGTGCGATGTCTCGACCGCACGCTGTACTTTACCCAATGAGGTTAGGGATAGGACCATCATGGCACTAGTGCAGCGGTTCTCAACCTTATGGGTACGATGGTCTCCCAATCAAGTTCACTGGTCCCCATAATCACCCCCCACCACAACACAACTAAGGTTACTATGGCCACGCGATACATGTAGAGATCACGTCCACGCCTCTAGTCAACGTGATGTAAGGCACTTGTTTCATGTTGTGCATTAGTAGGGCGATTTGACGCTGCACATTTTAAAAATTATCCTGCATGGTTCCCACATCGCAGCCCTGTGCTCTCCTCCCTACCAGCCCCCCCTACCAAGCGCCCCCCCCCCCCAACATTCTCATTTCCCGCACTCGCTCCGGGGCGTCTACATGCGTACGGTGACGAAGTGCAATTCACCAGATCCCTAAATCCCATTTTTCCAAGATTGTAAAATTGAGATGCAGAGCAAGCGGTGGATACATGTGGAGGCACACTCTCAGTCGCATTAAATGGCGCCCAATTCCCAGCCACTCCTCTAACCCCAAGGTAAACGTCGCAAATACGACGAATCATCGCGCTTCTGGGTCACCAGCTATGGCGGCTCTTGTCCGTAGAGAAACGTTTCAGTTTTCAGTTTCATTTATTTGGTATGGCCCTGTGAGCAATTCGGCTCTTGAAACGGGTGCAACCGCAACGAACAAAAAACAAAAACATGAACAAGAAAACATCTTAAAGTGACTATGCGCAAACAGAAAAATCCAGGAAAAAACAGCAAAATCTTCCCGAAAAAGCACCGTACACCAACGCTGTGTGCAAAAATCCCAGTGGGATGCAAGTCAAACAACAACAACCACAAGACAACTTAGATTAAAGCCATCAGTCTAACTCCGTATTACAACAAACAAACATGGCAAAACCAAAAAAAGTTTTCGAAATCACCAAAATAAAGCCATAAAAGCAATGTAACAGTGATCATAGGAACTATGACCGAAATTTCACAATAAACGACATAAACAACATGTATCACCAGACCCTGTAGCCATAGCTGGCTGCATGAGTCACTCCACAATAAACGTGAATATAAGAGGACGAAATCACTGCCACCTTTGGGGCGTCACGTCGCATGACTGTGACAAAACGCGTAGAAAGCATCAATCCATCCATCCGCAGATTATAGGATATTTCATCCATTGAATTGTTCGGGGCCACCGATAATGGAGGCCATGGGTCATAGGCCACAGATTAGATGAGGGTCACCGCACGGAGAGGAACGAATCTCCCCCCCAGTTTAACTCGTCTGGGGTGTCGCTAGCAACCGATTGTTGTTGTTCTCTCCGCATTGTCGGTGCCGACGAACCACGTGGCTGGCTGCTCGTGGTTTTGGCGGCCAGCAACTGTGAGGGCAGGAATGGCTACAAACGACTATTATACACAACCGTCGCCCCCCCCCTACTTGTTTAATACGTGCTCACTCACGCTCGTATATCGCACGTATGTGTTTTAGTTATGTATTTATTACTGGGGGCATAGACTGGAGGAAATGGCACGTGACGAGCCATAGCCACAGCCATAGGCGGGAGCGAAACTGGATGCGGTGTGCCGGGACCGGCAATACTTTTCCAGGTCATTGACGTGGATAGGCACAGTTGAGTTTAATAAGCCCCCGCGAGGTGTAACGATACATCGATTGATCGATTAATATGGACGCTTAAGCTCACGATACATACAGGGAATTCTAGATTTGAAGTTTTCGTGACTGCAAGGATTCATACTCTTAGGTTTTTTTGGTAAAGTCACGTAGGTAAAAAATAAAAATTCTAATAGAAATAAAATAATAATAAATGATTTATTTTCATTTATTATTATTTAATTTCTATGTGACTTACTGAAAAAAAAACCTAAGCGTATACGGGGAATTGCGTGTGTATCGATCAATGTTGGCGAGCTTGTATGTCATGTATTGAGATCGGAGCCACCCGTGCAATCTCTCTAGGCGCTAACATTCATCGCAAGTGTTAAAACACAACAATCGGCCGTTCAACAAAATCGTGAGCCTGAATTGCAACAATCTGTCGAATCCACAATTTTTGACGACTCAGCCGGCCCCCCTGTTTAACACGAGTATCCCAGTGTTTCCCAATCACCTTCGCGCGCGCTCGGTTGTGCTCAGTGTTGCGGGAGCAGCGGGTAAGAGCCGGCGTTTATAGCCCCGGTGACCCAAGTTCAAATCCCGGACGGTGCACATTGTTCAATTGGTATCCGAACCCTTTGCTTGGCCGCTCTCTGGTTGACTCGACTAAAAAGGGGCATCTGTTGGGGGCGCATCAACACCAGCCACCGGGGCAGCGCTTGCATTACCGCCCCTCCGCGTTACACAATCTGTACACGCAGAACGATATCTGGGAAGAAAAAAAGCTCTCGGTTTACAGGTCGAACTACATCCTCACTCTAGATTTGAAGTTTTCCTGACTGCAGGGATCCATACTCTTTGGTTCTTTCGGTAAAGTCACGTAGGTATAATTTATTTTATTTTATACCTATGTGACTTTACCCAAAGAACCAAAGGGTATACATTCTCACTCTCACGTATTGTCATGAGCTTTGGGTAATGACCGAAAGGATGAGATCGCGGGTACAAGGGGCCGAAATGAGGTTTTTCCAGCAGGGTTGCCGGGCTCACTCTCCGTGATCGAGTGAGGAGCTCGGTAATCCGGCAGAGCCTCAGAGTCAAGCCGCTGCTTCCCCGGATCGAGGTGAGCCAGTTGAGGTGGTTTGTGCACCTAGTAAGAATGGCCCCCGGTAGACTCCCCCTGGTTCTCTACCGGGCAGCAGCAGCAACGTCCCACTGGGGGAAGACCCCGGGGCCGGCCCAGGACACGCTGGTGGGACTATGTTGCTCAGCTGGCCTGGGAACGCCTGGGAATTCCACAGGAAGAGCTAGAGTCTGTGTATAGTAGTGTAGTGCATAGTGTAGTGTATAGTGTAGTGTATAGTCGTGTATAGTGTAGTGTAGAGTGTGATCTATAGTAGTGTAGTGTAAAGTGTAGTGTATAATTTATTGTAGTAGTGTATAGTAGTGTAGCGCTAGAGTCCGTCGCCTGGGAAAGAGAGGTCTGGACCGCCCGACTCAACATGCTGCCGCCGCGACCTTCACTAGGACAAGCGGACTGAGAAACGAACGAGAAACGAACGAAAAAAACCACACAAAGTTCGATCACGTACAGCCCCTTGCCGGTCCAGTGCTGGATGAAGGCCTCCCCCTGCCATATCGGTTGCGAAGGTTATATGTATGTACGTATGTTGTATGTATGTTGCATGAATGTATGTATGTTGAACTTCTTTCGCACCGCACGTAGCCAAACCGTGCAAATTGGAGGTGCGGGAAGACCATACTTCACCGCGCCTGGCAATGTGGGTTGGTCAAAGGGGGCCGCTTAGAGGACACGAACTCGGAGCTCGCCGAGTGAACCACCGCGCCGCCGCTCCACCCCAAACAGGAACTTTACTCCCAAAGATTCCCAAACGATGCTTTCTCCGCTCAAGTAAATTCACTTCAAAAGAAGCGTCGGTTATCTAAGCGGACAAACTTCCTGCCACGTTATCGGCGAGTGGCTCGCACGGGGGGGTGGGGGGGGGGTGGGCAACCTGCACCTCCGGATTCTCATGCGGTGGCCCTTCCTTAAGCACCGCTTGGTGACGTCATCCACACGCATTGGCGACTCTTGAAATATATATTTTTTTACCAAATTCGAAAAAAATGGCTTTTCTTTTTTATTTTGTTTTCAGAACCCCTGGGCTAGGACCAGAATAATATTCGCGCGAGCAGCGCCTTCCCCAACAGTCGACACAGCCAAGGGAATATTTCTAAGTCGTTGCAGGTACAGCCAGGGGACTGGCATGAGTTTTTTGACAGGTAGAAGGTTGGCAGCAAGTGATGAGTTACATTCCTGGCTCTTGAAGGGAGCCAGTGATAGGCATCGCAGGCCCTTTGAGATAGCGTCTGCTGCTGTTATCAGCCACTGCTGCAGACTGGAAGACTCAAATCAAGGTACATACTGTTCCCTTTACGTTTGCTATGTATGTCTTTATTTTTTGATCTTTACGTCTTCACAATGAACAGCGGCCTTCATTCATTTTCCAACCACCAGTTTGTGTTCATTAACACCGCAAGTGAAATGTATTTTGGAACACAAAGTAATTATGCTTCAAACATTCAGTGCGATACAAATACATCTACATATTTATAGCGGTTTTGCTGAATTGAGCGATGGTGTAAAACCTCTATTTAAACTGGGCGATAGCCCTTTCACACGACGTGTCAATTAAAGAGACAGGGGATCATCGACTAGATGATGAATTCATATTTTTGCGATATTTACCAGAATATTTGGTGGATTTGTGGCATTTTTTAGATACATCTCGTCGATTTTGGAAATGCATTTGGTGGACTTTAGCATTGTATATGATATAAATCGTTAAGCATACATTGTTTTGTCATATACGCTCGATTTTTCATTTTTTTTCAAACGTATGTGATCACAAAAAACATTGATAGTAAAACACATATTCTTGGTTCTTTCGGTAAAGTCACATAGAAGGGAAATAATTACGTGCAATAAAAAAACAATAAAATTCTCGAAAAGTAAAACACACATATACAAATGAAGCACAACGACGCATATCACGCCATACATTGCTGTACGGAAGAAATACTATAACGTGCAATCCAACAATCCTCAAATCCCCGTTGATCACGGCTCCTCCGGTAATCCGCGATGCATCGAAAACTCTTCGTGGCACTGAAATCCGCGATCCGTAGAAGTTGCCCGGGGCTTCCGGCGAGCTGCAGGAACAGCGTTTAAATCACACAGTCGAGCTACGCACGACGTCCTTTGTTATTTGTTTGATATCAAATCTAAAGAGGCCTTTGACATAGGCCCATGAGGCAGAGATGCGCACCATTTCGCTCTTAGGGAAAGAAAACTCACAACCTCACAATCGACAAATGTTTTCACAGATGACCGAAATTGCGTGATAAATTCCTCACATAATCCATTGGTCAACCGCTTAGGAGAAAACATCTTCCGGGGATTATAGAACGAACGTCCGCGGTACTCCTGCGTATTACGGGATCTGCAATACCGCCCGTATCAACGCGGATGATTGGAATCCTGCTGTACTGCATTCCAGATAATACGAATGAAACATGCGCTGGACACTGCACAAGGCCGGCAGAAGGAATCACCCCCAACCCCAGCGATGCTATGAATTGCCGCGGTGTACAGTGACTATTTGACAGAGAATCAATTTAGATTTGAAGTTTTCGTGACTGCAGGGATCCATACTTGTCACCTTTTGAACCCCATCAACCACAGCAAGAAACAATTGTTTCTTGCTATGGTTGTCCCACCTGATGACGGACGCTTGCGTTGCACCCGAAACGTCGAGATTTAATTAATTTTATTTTATACCTATGTGACATTACCGAAAGAACCAAAGAGTAGAGAATCAATTGTACATTTGACATTGTGGTGAAGGTTATCAGCCTCTAGTGGCTGCGGCGGGGGTAACGCAAAAATTCCGAAAGCGATGTGTTCCCCACCTCATGACGCAACTCCAATACCTCCTGGGATATAAACGGTGATCTGAATTCATGGGGATTTTTTTTTTATGACTCCGAGGTCAACGTCCAACCATCCCGAACGCAGCTGCTTGCCAGGTTTAAAGATAGCACGCACATTTTGGGATGCTGCCATTGGACTAGCGAAAGGGTCGGAAAGTTGACAGGGTTCAAAAGGTGACAATTTTACCCCACGACCCATTTCCACTGTCTGGTTATCTCACCTGAATAAAAGGAAATGGGAAAACACTGAAACTTGATCTAAATGCTGGTCAGCGTAATGTGGGCATCTCCTTATGGGCTTAATGGGGGTATTTTTAAGAAGGCACCTGCACCAAACATTCTATGAGATGCAAGGTTTTGGATCGTAGATATCTCAAGACAAGGCCTGTGGTTGTGAGGTTTGTGCCGAACAGTCCACGTGTTTACAGGATAATAAGACAACTGTTTAGCTGCTGGGACATTTTGTTTAAACAAAAGAAGGAACATCACTTGGTGTCTATTTTGTTGTGGAAACGAGAGGTGCTCTGGCGCGTGTGTGGTTGTCGTCTTCTCGGGCGTGTACTCTCCTTTGACTGCAGTTCAGTCACCAGTCTCGCAACATTGGTCATCCTCCCTTCATCGTAACGTGTCCTACCCACGCAGACTTATTTTCCTTAACTGCCCATTTGATGTGTCGAATTAGACATTTGTTTTCCGTCTAATCATCTGTGTTTCCCTCTCTTTCTCTCAGTGTAATCCCCAGCATGCATCTCTCCGCGCCCTCTGTGCACACCCTTCAACTTGTCTATCATTCGCTTTGCCAATGTCCATGAGCAAAACGCTGCAAATGGTGCTGAAAAACCCCACGGTACAACCAAGAAAATCCATTCAAGAGTTGCCCAAAGCAACTGAAAAAAACCTACGCAGTTCTAGCCTGTGACTTCGTTCATGAAGTCAGGCTCTTCATCATGCACCACTGCATTAAACCTACATTTCAAATATGAAAAATATTAACCAACCTTAAGTTTTGCTTTATGTCCCTACATAACTGTGTGCATCAAGACTGCAAGGTGTACATCATACATTGTACGAAACTATTTTTTTTATTTTACCGAGTAAGACCCACAGAAGCGACCTGGCTACAAATAATAGCTCAATAAAGTGGCTTATCAAGTGCAACTTCACTGCAGCCAAATACTCTAAATGCGTGATGTTGGTTCTAAATGTGGAGGGAAAACCCGGAGGAACCAGAGAAAAATCCACATAACCACAGGGAGAGAGACATGCAACCCCCAAATATAAAGGTGTCAGGGTCGAGATCAAACCCACAACCTCCTATACACCAGGCGAGGTAGTTAACATGTCACCACCGTGGCACCCACTGTGTGTATCTAGACTGCAAGGACACATCATACATTGTACACTCAGTGCCTAGTTAAATAAATGAATAAATATATAAAACTTTGGTTTGTTTTAATGCACTCATTGTTCACCTAAAATCGTACACAGTAAGTACATGTACACACACACGACCGTACTGAATAACCGGCGTTGAAAAATCAATTGCTAAATGCAGTAAACAGTCATCACACGCAACTACATTGGATGGGTCCTGCTCGCAACACTGGCAAGCACAGACAATGCTGACTATGGCGTGATCATTCGTCCTGTGACCGGGCAAGGGCAGCTCAATGGTCGAGTGAGCAGGTTATAATTGGAAACGGTCGCGAGTTCAAATCCTGGTTTCAGATTAACTTGGCCCATCGAACCCTCTGGGGTCAATAAAAATGAAGACCACGTTGTCAACTGTTGCTTGTCCTGTGGAGAGACTCCCTCCCGCCATGCCAATAGGGAATTTCCACCACTGGCTCTGCAGGACTGTGAACAGAAAATGAGCACCCAGTGCCTCAATGCTCTCTTTTTTAAATATATAACTTGAACTGTTACTGTGCTGAACTGCAGATAATCCTAGCAACCTGCCACAGCCCATTTGTTTAGCTTCCATCCATATGGGGATATTTTGTCTGCCGTGCATCCCACTGAACAATAACAGTGGCTGTTGTGTTTACAGCAACCTTTAAACCGCCTGCTATCACGGCTGAGAAATGAAAATAAAAGAATATATATAAACAACGATGAGTGTCGTATTTAGTCTAGGTGCAGTACTTGTGGGGTTTTTTTTCTCATGACATGCGGCGCGTGTGTGTTTGACGTCATGGGGCGGAGGGTGTCCGTGCCCGGCTGACTCTGTGTCGGCACGATCGTATTTTATAAATGCAA